GACTGATCATTATTTAAAAAATAAATATGGGACGTTAATAACATTAATAAATAAAGAATTAGTTCACATGAAAGTTCATAATAAATATAATGATTTATTTTTTAATCACTGTACACAAATCAGTCTCTTAACAACAACATTCCCCTTTCTTCTAAACTTAGGCTGGTGGACCAATATCATTATGATAACAGCAGCAATCATCAGTAAATATGCAGTTGATGGTTTATTTGGGAATGCAATTAAGATTAGTTTATGTATTACTGTTGGTTGTGGTCAAACTTTGTTAGTTGTGCATTTCTGGAATACTATTATGTTGATGAATGGTGCTAAATAGAAAAAAAATTATTATTATGTTTTACATTTGAAATGACAATTTTTGTTTATGATATTACATTTGAAACTGAAATATTTCAGAAATCTTTAAATTCTACATCTGATATAGTATCATCATTCGGCAGTTCAATAGTGTTCATATTCTAAACTTTTAAAAAATTTAAAATATACAGCAACTAATGCAAATACAATTGTAACTAATCCAACATCACATTTAATAACAGATAATCCTGTATCATCATCATCCCTGACAACAATATCAACTTGGTCATCATTTTTAACTATTAATAATGATTGAGATTCATCAACATGATCATCTTTAGTTCTTTTATCATGAGCATCATCATCATTTACAGTTGAAGTAAATAAGAACCTATTACTCATCGACCATATCATCCAAGTAAACAACAACAACTAAATCAACAACAATTAATGCAGCATCAACTGATACAAAGAATCTTCCTAATAATATATGTTCAGTTTCATCATTAAAATCGTCAACAATAAGAGTAATAAAGTGAAAGCATTCAACAATGACGAATAACTTTCAATGAGTATCTCTAACCATTTGATAAACAAATATTCTTGAAACAAGAACAACAACAAAACAAAATAAAGAAACATCTTTAATTAATAGTATTACTTTTTATTTGAACAAGAAAATTCTAAAATACTTCTTTTTTTTATTTTTTTATTTTATTTCAAATATACAAAGATGACAACGTAGTTCATCAATATTTGACAAATTTCTACGTTGTATTGTATCTTATACGAAAAGGATTAATTTCATAGGGAATTATTTGAACTTATACAATTTTGTCTTAGATAAAAGAAAAAAATATCAAAAAAAAATAAAAAATCAAATTTTTAATATTTGAACTTTTAGTCATGTACCTGATATGTTGGAAACATTACAAGAATTAACCAATATGAACTAGAAGATGTTATTATTTCAAAAAGCATCTATGATTAAATTGATAGAAATAATATGATTAATATTGGTAAGAGTTTATGATTTAATTGATGACAAATAATAAGTTGTAACTATTATCAATGGTAATTGTTTGACTTATTCGAATAGTTAAACGAGATTCATTGAAGTACTATAGAGTTGATATGTGAAATTAATAAATTATTTATCAATGCTAATTATGCTACAAATGCTTTGAAAATGACTTTAAAAATGCCTTAAAGTGCTTTCGATCGTAACATCTCCGAGAAACTTCAAAATTTTATCTGCCGTTTTAAAAAAAGCTGAGATAATCATCTTTGAAATCTATTTTTTGCAAAGTTTTTCTGTAAACCCTTATATTCATTTTATCATTATATGGAATAAATAAAGATCGAGATTGTGAGTTGTAGAGTTCTACATTGCCGGTATTGCGAAAAGGATGCTTCTGATTTCTTATATAATACTATTATTACTTTTCAAATGTTAAGTACTAAACAAAAGACTACTAGTGCAATTGTTAATAACGAGGAGATTGTTTTATTGTAATATATTTTGTTACTTAATTCTGGAGAAATACAATGAGAGAGTAATTCATATATTATAAAGAGATCTTTATATCAGCAATATCTGTAGAGGGAAGTTCAAATTTTCAATATTTCTTTTTGATGTAGTTTTACAAAATATACTACTTTATACTTTCATAATATTCAAGAAAAAGAGAGATTTAAGTATAAACACTCTGCAAAAACATTCGGTAAAATGTGATAATGGAAGATCACATTAACTTCTTCAATAGTATCTATTGATATTGATTTCATCATTTTTGTTTTATTAAATCTGTAAGAATCATGTTCAGACTGTGACTGATTTTTAGAACAAGTTATTGTTCAGTTCCATGTTCTATATACCTTCAACATGTAATGATCGAAAACAATTTTGTAAAGAAGTTTCTTAATAATCATTGTGTTTTATTTTCAACATTTAATGATGAATTATCATTGGTTGGATAAACAAAAGGTGTTTTTGAAGAATATATGTATAAAATTGAAGATGAACATTTTTAATTTGATATTGTTATGGAAGTTAATTTAAGTAGTGTAAGAATGTACAGTTACATATGAATTCATTAACATCGGATCAATTAAATCAATATCAATTAGATGATCAATTAGGTGAATAATCAGCAGCAGCACAAAAAAACGAGTTGTACAAAAAAATTTATGGTCAATATGCAAATGAATTTATTGATGGATTAAAACAAAATCTACATGTTTCAGTATCCATTCTTCTTAAACAGTTTATAAAATGGCAGAATTTTTTTTGTATATGTTATTTCTTCTAGATTTAAAAGTTAAGGATGAAGAATAGCGTGGAGCAAAGAAAAATTTTGAACGTTTTTGAAAAAGCATTAAGCTAAAAAAATATTATCTTAAATCATTAGAGAAGATGGAAATAAATTGTAAAAATTCTAATGCAAGAATTATTCATAATTGATATTTATTAAATGAAATTGAAAATATCAAAGAAGAAGTAACAAAAAGTAAAAACAAGCAAAATTTGATTTTGCTTGTTTTTTTTGTTTTGTTTTCCGATTGATGGGATCAACAAAAACCATCGAATTCTAATCAATCAAATTCCACATTTCGTTATGAAGACTTATCTATACTTGAGGATGCTGTATTATTAATTATTTTTCTTGATAAAGATCAAACATCATTTGCGAAAGAAGACAAACAAAAGATTTCAAAAAAAAATTATGTATCAATTTTTACCAAAGTTTTTTATTTACATCAAGAGAAAAAATTAGTGAAAATAAAGAAGATAATTATTTAAGAAGTAAAAAATATCATTGAAAGAGATATTGTATCTTCTTTTCAGTCTTGTAGAGAATCAAAATATGTAACAGGATTGAAGAGATAAGTGTTTTTGAATCCGGACTATGTAAACATTCATGAACTATGGATTTTCAGAATCCATTTGTTGTGAGATTTATAGATATTTTGATTGTTTCTATAACAACATATGTCTATAAGAATGCGTTTTTTTTTGTATTACCCAGATATTTTGATATTCTTATTGAAGTTCACTTCTAAAAAAGGAATTAAATCTCATGTAGTAATATCCTCTATTCAATCTGACATTGTGGCTAAGATCAAATTTCTATGAGAGACTAGTAGAAGAGCTATGACTGTTTTACTGATGTCGTAGTCATAACAAGACAATTTCGAAAATATTAAAGTTTGACTGTGGAATTCTGCATATAGATAGATGTAATAATTATTAAAGATTAGAGAGAATTCGAACATAGTTTGATTGGAATATTCAACTTTCAAGTAGACTTATCCAAACAGGATACGTTCGTATTCTTTGGAATCTTCTGAACGTTTTAATGAAGATTAAATAAAAATTATTTCTTATTCTCTTTCAATATTTTTAGCAATGATTCACTCTGACAAAAAAAATGAACTTTTCCCTCGAATGACCAATATTAATATTTTATTTTCTATACACGATAATGAAGATGAAAATAGACATGATAAAAAAAATCTCGACCAACTCGTCATATTGACACAAATCAATGATGTAATAATGAATCATTAATAGTTAAACTTTGTCTCAACTTTTTGTTTTTTATTTATTCTATTAGGATGATACGTTTCCTGTGTTTTTTTGTTAACGATAATTATTATTTTTTCTTTCGTCTCTCTCTTAATTATGATGTGAATGTTTCTTAAAAACGTTTCAACAATCGTTATGTTGTTTAATCGAACAATAAAATCATCATCAAATGAACATAATTCAAAAATTTAATTAACAATTATCTATTGTTACGTTATTTCGTATGACAAATCAACGTAAGTTAATTATGATTAAATATAGAAAACAAAAATTATTATTAGTTTTCCAGCAAATATACCTGTTGATGATTATTATTTAGTATTTCTAAATAAGGTGCGAAATTTATTTGATGAAAGTATGGCTAGTTCATCGTATGAAGGTTCATTAGATGAAATGTTTGAGACGTGTCCGGATTCCAAGAGTTCAGAACTCTTAAGGAACTCTGAACTCTTCAACTAAATAGAGAATACAAATCTTCACGCTCAGGAACTCATGCAACTCTTAGAACTCTTAGAGCTCTTAGAATCCTTCGAACTCTTGGAACTCTTGAACTCTTGAACTCTTAGAACTCTTAGAACTCGTAGAACCCTTGGAACTCTTAGAACTCTTAGAACTCTTATAATCCTCGGAACTCGTGGACCACTTCAACTTTTCGAACCCTTGGCACTCATAGAACTTTTGAAACTCTTACAATGGTTACAATTCTTCGAACTCTTACAGCTCTTAAAAGCCTTGGAACTCTCAGAACGCTGAGAATGTTTAGAACTCTTACAGCTCTTAAAAGCCTTGGAACTCTCAGAACGCTGAGAATGTTTAGAACTCTTATAACTCTTAGAGCTCTGGAGCTGTTTGAACGGTTTGAAATTTTGACGTATTCGCTCCCTTCTGGTATGATGTGCTTGGGTGAGCCTGTGGAAACAGGTACAGGTACAAGCTAAGGGTGTGGGTGTGGGTGTAGGTGTGGCGTGTGGGGTGTGGGTGTAGGTGTGGCGTGTGGGGTGTGGGTGTGGGTGTAGGTGTGGCGTGGGGGGTGGGGGTGTGGGTGTAGGTGTGGCGTGGGGGGTGGGGGTGTGGGTGGAGGGGGGGCGTGTGGGGTGG